TGGAGGTCAGTTTTGGCTATTAACATTTATATGGCGGAGTTATTCCAGAAAAAAATATCTCATTCATAAGCTAGTTTTGTTTTCGATATTTATTTATACTCTTTTCATACCTTATCGGATAAATCATCCTAAGAAAGGATAACTCTCCTTTATGCTTTCATTTTTTATAACGTTATTTGATTTAAATAAACTTTTCAAGACCCATTTGAAAAGCGGAATATTGTGCCTACAATAGTTTCATAACATTGTATATCCCTCACAAAGTTAAATTGGCTGGGAAATATCACGTCCTGATATATCACATTATTTATGCATACTCTAATGTGAATCTTTGAGTCTTTTGTATTATGTTGCATAACGGAACTGCAGATTCATATCTAGTTAATTTAAATTGGGAGTTAGATATAATATTTGGAAGATTTATGAGTATAATTAACATGTGCGTTTCATTTATAAGTAGGTTTTTGAGACTAACAGTAGGTCATTTGTATATTAAGTGTATTCATCATATTTAGTTTAAGGGATAAGGGGACTGGTGGTTGAATTTTTCTACAATGATATAAGTAGATCATACATTTCCATTAACTTTCACATAGCCTTGCTTTCCTAAAAGGCTTTCCCTGGATGAGAATACCTTTTGAGAAAGCTAGAGTATGTGAAATTTAATAGGAATGTAAGGTCTATTCATGTCATTGTTGGAAACATATTATTACCAGTCCCCTTATCACCTTTAACGAAATAAGGTGAATACACTTTGTATATGAATGATTTACTAATAGTTACGAAGACCATGCAATGTTGGCGTCTATTTTGGTCGCAGTTTCCTTTCGATGCACAGTAGTTATTTGAGCTTTTTTTCACAACTTGGTCATATTGGCAGGAAGACATATAGGAATGCACATTATCTGGAGTCCATAATGTGCATGATAATTTCCGGAGTCAGACCTTGAATTTGGTATATTCTCAGACGTTTCGCTGGCATAGTTAGGGAGCCTTGCCAGTCACAGCAACAATCTACAACTCGTCAAAGAGACAACACCTTTTGGGGAAGCAATGCTATGTGAAATCAAATTGAAATGTAAGGTCTACATTCAGATCATGACATCGCGAGAAATAGGATGAATACATCTCATAGGTATATTGAAATTTAGACTGTATTTGTAGACCAACCTGATTCTCTTATATATATCTTTGGCTCAAAACAAACTTGGATGTCGTTAAAAATTTTGTCACGTGGCGCATCGAGTTTATTATTCTTAGACTTTGAATCCACGTTGCCAGGCATTACTAGATGCCTAATGCACTAGAATTGAATTTCGAAATCTCGTTTGCACCTTCCATCTTTGTACGATGCTATGTTTGTCCAACATTTTCACTTTCTTCTGTAGGCTTGGCTGGATGTATCTCGCGTACCGCCACAGCACCTCTTGACAGAATCAAGGTTGTTTGGCAGGCATTGGGTGGAAAGGCAGTTCAGAGTGGTGTACTTGGCTCCTTGAGGAAGATGCTTAATGAAGGTGGCTTCACTTCTTTGTGGCGCGGCAATGGCATAAATTGTATCAAGATAGCTCCAGAGACAGCCCTGAAATTTCAGACCTATGAGGCTATAAAAAAGCTTATCTGTGCTGATCGGGTTTCCGGAGGTCATCTGTATGAATTCACCTTATCAGAGAAATTTGTTGCAGGTGCATTGGCCGGAGCTTTCTCGCAAAGTATTATATATCCTATGGAGGCTAGTTTACAGAAATTTTTCTGATTCTTTCCTTTAATCAGCGCAGTTATTGAATTATTTTATTCAAATTTAACCTTGAATCTTTCATTTAATTTATAATATAGTAATGTTTTCTTCCAGTTTCGTTTGATAGATGGTTTAGAGGCATCTTTTTTTGCTTATATGAAAGTACGCACTTTCTTATGCCTATGCGTTATTGCGAAGTGAACAAGATTTTTCTTGATTTACTGTAGCCTAGTAAAATTAATAATGCTTTTTTTAGTCTCTTAAAGATTTTAACTGCTGGTCTATTCTCAATACTGGCT